TGGTCAGAGCAGAGAATTTAAAAAAAAAAAGCCTGCAGGGGGCAGCCCTGGGCCTCAGCCACGAGGACCCAGCAGACAGCCGCCCGAGTACACGGGCACGCTGAGATGGACACACACACACACGTGGTTTTCTGCAGCCTCCCCCACCAGGAAATAGCCAGAGGAGGTGAAGGTAAGTTAATAAATAAAATCTTTTTTTTTCCAGCCCAATTGATGGCATTGCTGTATAAAGTACAGCTGGTATTTGTAGTTTTATATAGCAGGTCCCATTCTGCATTGCAGCAATGCAGAATGGCACCCTCTACAGAGTACTACAAATCTCAGCAGTACTTTATACAGCAATGCCATTTTTCCAAATTTTTTTGATTGTGTATCTGGGACAGGAAGTGGGACAGAATTGTCCCAATGAGCACAGTAATAAACACTCAAGAGGTTCCAAGCCCTGCCTATTTCTATCTTAAAAGTTTGGCTGCTGCTCTACTGAAATATTAAGGCAACACTTAATTAAAACTGCATGTTACTTGACCTTGAAAATGTAACCAATGCATCACATTTTAACTAGCAAGATATTTTTATGCATATAAAACTTGTGTCAACCACATTCCTTAAAGTGCAAGTAAAAATTATTAGAACTCTGGAGTACATGCACCTTTGCCCATGTTTCAATCCCTTTAAAAATGTTGCATGTACAGAAAAATATCTGTTAAGGTGCCAGAAATATAGCAAGCTACCTTTCTCTTTTATATGACAGCATAGCAATTCGGAACCAAGCATGTGGTATAAGCCATGCCCACATTATTTTTGACAGACCTCTGCAGAACTCCTCCTTGCGCACAGGCAAAGGGCACAGGAAGTTATCAGCTTACACGATTTCTGGCAAAACAGGTATTTTTGGCACCCACCAGATGAACACTTTCCATGGTATATTTAGCAGACCAAAGAAATTAATTTTGACTGTAGCTTTTGCTATGGACTGATCAACAAGCCTAACTTTCGAAAATCGAGACTACAGTAGGGAATAGGGAGCTGACTGGTTGATTGCTATTAAAAGCTTTAAAAAGATATTCACAGCCTTCCATGGCAGTGAAGGAGTTAATACTGAAGTGCACACAGCATCTGCACAGCTTTAACAAATTCACACAACATCCACATTACGGAAGCTTTAAAAAAATATCTATATATTAGCCTTTCTACTATGATCAAAGCCTGAAGCATCCTCTAGGTCCAAGAGAAGGAGAGTGAAAAAAAAAAAAAAGATAATACAAGAGCCTCATGGGCAGAGATTAATTCCAATGTTGATGTATTGTAGCAGCATCTGAATCTTATTCGGATAAGTCCTTGGAAGACAGAATCCAAGCGTTGGGTATAGATGGGGTATAGGTACAGTCCACTTGTTCCTGATACATAAAAACTTCGAAATAGGTGGCCACAGCTGTTGCAGCAGTCACCAAAAAATGAAACTGGATTGATAAAAGCAGCCAAAGTTTGAAGAGTTTAAAAAAGGGAGTCTGAACAGATAGCATGGATAAGGCACATGTTTTAACATTCATGGAACTGAAGAATTAAAATAAAAAAACAAGAGGCTACGTTCAGTTTCTGTCTGTTGTAATGTCTGTGTGCAAGCCAAAAAAAAAAAAAA